TGTCAATTGTTACACATTTTGGATATATCTCGTTTGTTAAGTAATATTTATTCCCTTCTCAGATCTTTGATGGAGTTGAAGATTATAAAATTGTAGTTACTCTCTACATTATTTAGACTCCTTGAGATAGAATGTTTAGCAAAACTTTTGATTCTCAATATTGTTTGTTATATTTATTTGTTATTATTGTATATAGTTGTATTTGGTTTAGTTCTGTCTTATTTAGACAAAAGGGGGAGATGTAGGGATAAGTCTCACCCCTTAGGGGGTGTGTTCGCCTCAGGCTAAAGTTTGCCTATAAATTTGGCGAGCGTGCTCCCAGCACTCGCTTCTGCTTTCCTGGTCTCTGGGGGAATGTGGTTCTGTAAGTCTATTCCTCCATTAAAGCTGTCTATATTTTGACAATCTGTCTGCATTCGCTTACACCGTTACATAGTAAAAATGGCAATTCTACCAAAAGCAATCTATAGATTCAATACAATCCCCATCAAAATCCCATCAAAATTCTTCACGGATATAGAGAATACAATAATCAACTTTATATGGAAAAACAAAAAACCCAGGATAGCCAAAACAATCTTATACAATAAAGGAATGTCTGGAGGCGTTACCATCCCTGACTCCAAACTCTTTTACAGAGCTATAGTATTGAAAACAGCCTTTGCTGGAGAGGTTGTGGAGAAAGGGGTACACTCATCCATTGCTGGTGGGAATGCAAACTTGTGCAACCACTCTGGAAAGCAGTGTGGAGGTTTCTCAGGAAATTTGGGATCAACCTTCCCATGGACCCAGCAATACCACTCTTGGGAATATACCCAAGAGAGGCCTTATCACACAACAAACGTATATGCTGTACTATGTTCATAGCAGCATTGTTTGTAATAGCCAGAACCTGGAAACAACCTAGATGCCCTTCAAATGAAGAATGGATGGAGAAAGTATGGAATATATACATATTAGAGTACTACTCAGCAGTAAAAAACAAGGACTTCTTGAAGTTTGCAGGCAAATGGATGGAAATAGAAAACACTATCCTGAGTGAGGTAAGCCAGACCCAAAAAGAGGAACATGGAATGTTCTCACTCATATTTGGTTTCTAGCCATAAATAAAGGACATTGAACCTATAA